TGACAGCTAAAGAATATAAACGTAAGAGAAACAGGAAATGAAACATTATAATAATACAAAATAGATAAACATTGACAGGGCTAAGAACAATTACGAACAAAGATATTCAAAAGCAGAGAGATTTTATGAAAATGTCACACAAAACAGTTTACTTGGAACTGTTAAACAGTGTTCAGGTATGATTTAAGGTTGGTTATGGATGGGGCGTCTAATTTAAAATAATTTAACATAACGTGCGAATGCATTAAAGTGACGTCTTCAGTTATTATTTAAACGCAGCTATGTCAGGATTGGGATAGGTTATATAATTTCATTATTTAAATTATGATTATTAATATTAATATTCTATGACATGTATTTGGGCTATTGCGCTTAAATAAGTCATCTGTGATTCTAAATTAATATTTCTATTTATCCTTTTTATCACTCTGCCTGTCTTTCTCTTCTTTTTTTTCTAATTATTGGGGTTCTGCCACGGTTAAACGTTTGCAAAATGTCTTAGTTTGTCCAGAATATTGTTTTATTGTTATGTAGCCTATAGGCGAGAAAAATGTATTAACGCAAATGTGGCAATGTCGCAGCCAATGATAAGTAATAAAATGAGTCGCCTGTGGTTTGATAATAGGCAGTTATAACTGACTTTAATTTGTTTTCAGTATTAAATGAGAAAACCATTATTTATAACTTTTCAGCAACCGTTTGTATTTTATGATTAGCAATGTTGATCTTTTTTGCAGTTATTAAACATATAAACTTGTTTAAACTGGTTTAAATTTAATATAGTTGTCACTTCAGCTAGTTTCATAAGATTAATGTTTAGAATGCGTGGTTTGACATGCGTGGTTGAGTGGTTTCAGCAAATCATGGGATTATGAGCTTTAATCGCCATCTACTGGAGAGAATGTATTTGCTCATTTATTCTATTAACTCTTTTCTGCAAGTCTGTTTTATGATTTCACCAAGTCAAACCATTATTTTTTTATTTTATATTTTGAGATGATCATATTTAAATAAACAATTGCTAGGGTATTTTCTTTTTTCTTGTTTTAAAAAAAAATCAGTAGCCTATAAAATGATAATTTTTGCTTGACAAAGTTATTGGTTTAGGATTCTGGATGCATTTTTGCTAAATGAGTGTTGGATACTCTCACACTAGTTAAATCAATTATATTATCAGAAATGACAGATATAAGAAATCCATAAATATTCATCACTCTTTTTACAATTATACAAGCAATTTCGCGACGACGTCAGCTCCACTTTCGGAAATGGTAAACAGCGAGGTGTTATTCATATAATCCCAAGCATGACATGTCATGATAATAATCGAAACACTCTTGTAGGCTTCTTATGCTTGGCCAAATGTCATGAATTTCACTTTTATTTTACATTATTATGCACAAGCCCAGATATCATCTGAAACTTCGGAAGAATTCCTATCATATTGGCAGCCATCTAGCATCTCTTAACCAGTTTGATATGCGGCGCTGGCTCTGACCGGCCACCGGAGCTCGCGGCCACTCGTTCGTCTTTGTCGTGTGCAAGGCACACCGCACATGCATAAAACGTCAATCATTTCATTCATTCATCAATTCATTCATTTTCCTTCTGCTTCGTCTCTATTTTAGTGGAAAAGCAATATTCTTGACAAACTAAAGACATTTTGCAAACGTAACCGTGGCAGAACCACAAAAAATAGAAAAAAAGAAGAGAAAGACAATAGCAAAGTTAGCTACAAATAGAAATATTAATTTAGAATCACGGATGACTTATTTAAGCGCAATAGCCCAAATACATGTCATAGAATATTAATATTAATAATCATAATTTAAATAATGAAATTATATAACCTATCCCAATCCTGACATAGCTGCGTTTAAATAATAACTGAAGACGTCACTTTAATGCATTCGCACGTTATGTTAAATTATTTTAAATTAGACGCCCCATCCATAACCAACCTTAAATCATACCTGAACACTGTTTAACAGTTCCAAGTAAACTGTTTTGTGTGACATTTTCATAAAATCTCTCTGCTTTTGAATATCTTTGTTCGTAATTGTTCTTAGCCCTGTCAATGTTTATCTATTTTGTATTATTATAATGTTTCATTTCCTGTTTCTCTTACGTTTATATTCTTTAGCTGTCAATATAATACTTCGCGTCTATGGAAGAAAGACTCAATAAAGATAGACAATGTATAACATCATATTCATCAAACGACGGTTTATGTGCAAGTAACCGCACCGGTCCGAGCAGGGAGCGAGCCGGCATGGGAGACAAGCTCCGATAAGATTGCAGAACAACGTCTGTCACTGGATCGGAGAACTGAGATTTACGCGATCACCAGCTGGCTTCCGTTACATAAGTGCAAATATAGATGACTAAAACCTCATTTACTCATTTTACTCATACTTTTTATCATTTATAATGTCCAAAACATTGATATTAATATTAAATGCTACTTTTGTGCCTTTAATAGCCTTTTTCTCGCCTGTTTACTGGGTTAAAAATCTTACATTCCATCTCCACCTGCTGGTAAAAGCTAGAGCAGCTGGCGATCTTCAATCTGCAATGTATTGCTTTTCCTGCAGTTCCCGGATGTAATGTTGAATTTTAACAGTCGAATTTGATCCACTGAATTTATGGAAGCGAATATTTGAACTGAAATAAAATGAACTGAAAATGACCTTTTGAATATTATACATCGTATTTTTAAAGGTTATTGAATATTTTGTAAGTGAAATCTGAAAATTGAATATGAATTATTGAATTTTTAAGTATGAAAACGTGTTTGAAATATTTTTCGTTGAAATATTCAAAGCTTAAATATACAGATATGTTAAATTTCAGGACCTAAAAATACAAACCCTGGAATTCAAGTCATTAACATGCAAGAACTTGTTAATACGGTGTATTATTTTTTTCAGTTTGTGATATTCAACAAGCTTTTTAATTCAAGACTTTAGGCATTGATTTTGTTCCATAAGAGGCTCATCTCCTGTTTCCAAAATGCATCACAAACTGCTTGAGAAACTGTTCTACTATGATAATTAGTGATGAAAATAAATGATGTTCAATAAGATGTACTTGTGTTTACACACTGTTAGACATGAATTTTGAACTGTAGGCCTACATAAGCTTGAAACAGTGATTTTTGATTACCTTAAACTGACTAAAGTCTTAACTGAACTAAACAGAAATGTAATTAAGACATGGAGTATGCATATATTAGTGGCATTATTGAAGTAAACACCGCGATCAAACTATTACCTTCATGTAGGACATTTTGCCATATTTTCCGACAAGATCCACACATGCGGCTGTCAGTAAAGGGCCGCACACACACACACACACACACACACACACACACACACTCACCGAAATAAGAATTTTTTATTTTTTTTTTGGTGTACGTTATTAAGTTTCATAACACTCTCACCAGTCCTTACTCCTTATTTGCGTACTATGCCCCAGTTTGTCATGGGGGCATAAATTAATTCATGAGTTACAATGAAACTGCTGAACTGCAGTTAAAGTCATCCAAAATTACAGGAAACTCTTACAGGAAAGCACTTCATGTAAACACCTTAATTATATTATTGTCTATTAAGACAAATAACTAGTCTATAGATCTTCATGTAAACGTAGTCAGTAGTGTCTTTGAAGTAAGTGAAAGATCCAGAAGGGCATCCTGCTGATTTGATTCAGAAGGGCACTTTTTTTTTTGTCAGACGGCTCACCAGTCAGGTACACATCCGCAGTAAAATATCAAGGTGAAAGTCTTCATAGCTTGCGTAGAATAGACCCAGCTACCAACCCAACTTTGAGAATAAATTAACAGCAATATATTTTTTTAATGCACAAAAAGAGTCTAGCGTTAATGCAGCATGTTAACGCCGATAACGCCCACCACTAATTTGTACGCAACTAAACTGATAAAACATGAAATAGTTAAAAAAATAAATAAATTCTCATGAGATCAGGCTGGTATTACGTATGCCAGGCCAGAATTTGACTCTGTCACCTTGCTAAACTTATCTTTAATTGGGCGTGGTGTGTGTGTGTGTGTGTGTTTGTGTGTAAGATGCATCTCAACTGTTGGTTGTAATGTGAAGAAATCCACTCTATTTGCTGATGAAGCATAAAGAAACGCTTGAGCAGCAACACTACTGTACCACGTACTCCATTATTGTTGTGTTTGTTTGTTTGTGCTTGCCTCACTAAATGCATGTTATGCATGCATGTGATTTCATCATTTTCAAAGACTTTTGTTTTTCATTTTTAGGGCTGTCATGTGATACTGGAATTCGGCACCAATTAATACTGAAGTTTTAAAATGATCTATTTCCTGCTGACATTTGAGCGCTATTGAGAACGTTCTTAAACATTGCTGATTTGCCATTGTGTTCACGTGCTTAACAGAAATGACTGTGATTGGCTGTGAAAGTCATCAATTCACAGAGCTCACTCCTGTTTACTAAGTGTAACCACAGATACAGGGGCAGTGGAGTGTTTCAAAGTCTCGTTGATCAGCTGGTATGTCTTTAAGCTGACATACGAGCGATACACTGATGAATTGCAGCTTTAAAACACTCCAGTGTCCCTGTATCTGTGGTTACACTCAGTAAACAGCAGTCGGTGAACTGATGACCTTCACAACCAATCACAGTCATTTCTGTTGAGCATGTGAACACAATGGCAAATCAGTGGTGTTTAAGCTCTCAAATGTTTTCGGGAAATTGACGTTTTTAAACAAACAGGCATAAAAAGTTACCAGTTTTTGGATGAAAATGTTGTCATGTGAACTGCCCCTTTGTCTCTTTGAACAGTCTATTCATCAACACAGGCTCATTGGGAAAACATGTCCTGGTGTACATTGTTGTGGACAAAATATGTGCTTGACGGAACATATGGCTGCATTTTATGTGTAAAACGAGTGATACCACTGACTTCTTACCTCTGTATGGATGGTTTTCTGGTGTGACTGGATGGTATAGCGGCAGACTTGAGAGGCAAAGCAGAGCGGGACTGGGGTTCGAGTCCAGCAGAGGATGGTTCCACAAACCAGGTAAAAACAAAATCCCAATAAAGCAGCGTGCGGTTGTGGTACAAGCATGCGGCAACAATGGCTATGCTCTTCTAGTTTGCTTTCGAAAACCCTTTTGATTGGGTTTAGGTAAGGGCTGTTTGCGCCAACTGATATCAACCCGATACATTATGTAAATGACAAGCCGACTGGCATCTCTGTTATGAAGGATGTTCATATTTGCAGAAATGTACACAGCTGCATCTGGTGGATTTACAAGAAATGACATGTATGAGAAAAAATGCCCAAGTAACGTATTTCAGATTGTCAAAAATGTACACGGCGCCCTCTTGTGGATTTGTGAAAACTAAAACTGCTAGAAAACTTACATATTTGCCGATTTTCAAAAATGTAGTCCTGGGAACGTATGACACAAGTGTTTGAGTTACCATTACTTCTAATCAATAAAGGTGGCGCAGTGGGTAGCATGATCATCTCACAGCAAGAAGCTTGCTGGTCCGAGCCTCGGCTGGGTCAGATGGTATTTCTGTGTGGAGTTCTGTGTGTTCTCCCCGTGTTCGCGTGGGTTTCATCCTGGTTCTCCGGTTTCCCCCACAAGTCCAAAGACATGCGGTACAATTGAAATGGGTAGGCTATATTGTCCGTGTGAATGAGTGTGAGTAGATGTTTCCCAGTCATAAGTTGCAGCTGGAAGGGCATCCACTGCGTAAACACATGCTGGATAAGTTGGTGGTTCATTCCACTGTGGCGACCCCAGATTAATAAAGGCACTTAGCCAAAAAGAAAATGAATGAATGTCTGCAAATCTTAAAATTCTAAATGAAAATTTGATGACTAATTGATATTGAATCAAATGTAAACCGTATAAATAAAAAGCTAACTGAATCATTTGTTGTCAAATTAGCATTCTTCATTGAGAACATTTAATGTCGTGTTTATTGTTTAGATGTTTTAAAGTGGCTTTCTGAACATCAGACTACATATTGTGTCCTTGTATTATTCATAGAAACAAGTGTTTAACCCTCATTGCGCTTTACATCTCCTGAGCCTCACCTCCTTTCTCTAAGCTGCACTTGGTATGTTGGAGCACAACAGGGCACATTATTGATGAAGAGAAGAGTGGCTCATAGCTCTGCTCTTAGGCTTCACATTAACAAGGGGAGCACCCTGCCACCCTCAATAATACCTTTAGCTTCTTCTTACCACAGTGTGCTCCCCTGCCATCGCTCCGAGGGAAATTTAGACATCACTTTTTATGTCTGCCTCCCTCTTTCCCGCACACACACCTCCGCTTATGAACCCTGCATATAAATGCACTTGGGTGCTGTCTTGATTGATGGCAATTAGCATTTGGTAATGATAACAGATGTTTGCGGTGCCAGGAGGCTAGTACCTGCCGCCCACTCCGCCATCTGCTGTGGGCATCGGGGGCCTGGCACAAAGGCTGCTGGCACGGGATAGCAAAGAGGGCGGATAGGGCAAGATGAGGGGTGCTACGTTGTTGTTGTCCCCTCTTTATTTGACACGAGGAGCAGGGTCAAACTGCAGGGGGCTTCCTGTGAAGGCTGTGTTACCTGGTGCTGAGAACATTTGGACAGGACACACGTGTTTTGTGGGCATGTATTATTTATTAGTCTCTTAGGACAGCGAGTGGGAGTGTGAAATATGGGACTTTTAAATAGCCATGATGGTCCTAATTTCAACTTCTGAAATTGCACTATGCAAATTAGGGATTTGTGTGGACAGATGTCAATGTTGAAAGGCTGAGCATGTTGAATCTAAAATAGCTATCAAACAAACACCAGTATCTATCTATCTATCTATCTATCTATCTATCTATCTATCTATCTATCTATCTATCTATCTATCTATCTATCTATCTATCTATCTATCTATCTATCTATCTATCTATCTATCTATCTATCTATCTATCTATCTATACATTCATCCATCCATCCATCCATCGTTTTATCTATTGTTCTATCCATCCATCCATCAGGTTTTTGTTTAACTTTTTTTTAAAAATTGACATTAAGTTTAAAACACAGCAATTCATTGAACATTTGGGAAAATAGTTGTTAATTAAAAAAAAAAAAATGGATGGACAAAGCGTTTTGGCTGATGGCACACAGAAAGAGAAGTGGATCTAACTTCTTCTCTGCCACTCTCAAAAGACTGAGTAAAACAAAATTATATAAACGTATTATTATTATTATTATTATTATTATTATTATTAATTTATATATTTATTTATTTATTTTTTTTTTTTGAGGCAGCACACTTATTCTAAATTGACTTGTTAAATCAGCCTTTCCCCATGTGCCTTTTGTAAGCTTCTGCCTTCGGTCTTTGTTTGAAATGAAGTGCTGCATTCACAGTACGGTCACTATTGCCTGCCATTTTGCTCAATTTATGTTGAATGTAAATATATACTGTAAGTAAATTGCTATTTTGTAGCAAGAATCTATTTATATTATATTATATTATATTATATTATATTATATTATATTATATTATATTATATTATATTATATTATATTATATTATATGTGACACTATGTTGCAGTAGGTAGTGCTGTCACCTCACAGCAAGAAGTTCACTTGGGTTTCCTCCGGGTGCTCCGGTTTGCCCCACAGTCCAAAGACATGTGGTACAGGTGAATTGGGCAAGCTAATTATTTGTAGTGTACATATGTGTGTGAATGAGTGTGTATGGGTGCTTATTATATTATATTATATTATATTATATTATATTATATTATATTATATTATATTATATTATATTATATTATATTATATTATCTTTTGTTTTTCTTTCATCTCATTATTGATGACCTGGCAGAAGAACTATATTCACCTGTGCCCAAAGGCAAGTTTAAAAGTTTAAAACTTTTGAGAACTTTTCTGCAAACCCCAGACACATCAATCTTGTACTGTGTTAAGATAGTGCCATTTATTTTACGTTCCTTTTTTTGGTCCATCAAACGCTCTGTGATATGTTTTGTCTATACTGTATATTTCAGGCTATATTTCATCTTCCAGTAACAAACAATAGTATACACCAAGGGGAATTCACTAAAACTAAACTGCTTCTGTCGATAGTGCAGATTATTTGCAAACACCTTTTGCAGCACCCCACCCCCAAAAAAGTGAAGGGTTTTTCACACTTTTTAACCTAGAGAATTGCAGTGACAGTGAAACCAGAAGTCATTCATTTTTAATGGGATTTGGCATTGGCAGCATAAAGAATATTGACTTTTAATGATGGGACAAAGTTGAGCTGAGTTCAATTTAATGCAAATTTTATTTAGATGTGGAGATATTGGAGCTCACATGATCCCCCGATGATATCATTAGTACAGTATTTGCAATTTTTTGGGTCAGAAATTTGCCTGGTTGTCTATTAAGGGAAGACACTACAGAGTAATATGATGTTTTAAGAAGCATAAATAAATAGTTGTCACCATACTTCTCCAGTAGATTGGTTACATTAGAAATTAAAAATATTTTTCTTTTCATTACAAGTTTACAAAAATTTTGTATTTAAATATGACTATGGGTCATTGTTTAATCAACTGTGCACTATGTATGCAAAAAATTGAATACTAAAGTAAGGTTTATAATACTTTATTTTATCATTATTAAAATTACATTTTTAAAATTATTTTATTTATTTATTTTAGATCGTATTAAAAATCATTTCAAAGTCAAACGTTTTTACAGGGGGATTTGGGGAATCTCTTTTTATAACTTCAATTTTATTTTATATATGTTATATTGTTATTATATAACAGACAGTAAAAGAAAAAAATATGGCTTTTTTTCGTATATTCAGGCAAATTATGTATAAACAAAATTCTCTGTAAAAACCTTAGATTGGTAAAAAAACTGTAAAGATTGGTGAAAGTTCTGCTGTAAAACACATTTTAAGAAAACTTCCATTAAAAAATGTGTTGTAATCAAAATCTAAAGTCACAAATTCAGTCAAATTGAATTGTGACAAACTTAAAAGTGTATTTTTAGATGATTTCTGTACATTAGAGTAAAAAAAGAAAACAAAAACAAAGCTAAAATCTCAGAATTTACAGTGAAAATAAAAGTTTTTAGATAGAAAGAGTCACCCTTTGTCTTCAAGGAAATGGAGGTTGTTGTGGGTTTCATAAGCAGATATGGAGGTGAGCATGTTCAGTTTACCTCACTGTAGATAGAGGGCTATTGTTCCTTGTCATATTCACTCAAGAGAAAAACATGTCATAAGTGTCACACCGTCTCTATGAACAGCTGCATTCTCAAGCCTGCTTGCTTTCACAGGTCTCACTCACCCTGATTTTCGCCTTGCAAAATCAATACTCTAATCTTCAACCCAGCCCTTCTCAATAAGTCTATATTTCTCACACTGCTCAAATAAAGGTGACCTCTGTGAGCCAATGGTATTAATATCCCAAGCTGGCACATGGGATATACCGTCTGCTTTTAATGGTAGTATTTGCCTGTCTGTCATAACACTAACAAAAAATTATCTAGCAACTCTGTCGTTTTTTATTTAAATATATTTATCAGTAATGTTATACAATTATCACATCTGCATTATTACAATACATTGAAAAATGTAGAATAAAATAACACATGCTAAATAAATGTTATAACCCAGCAGATACACAATGTCATAAGATGGTAATATTAGGTTAGATTTATGTCAATGTTATTTTAAAGCCCAATAACAATGGGAAATGACATTGATATTTGGTTAAGTTTAGATTGTGTTGGAAAGTGACAAAAATCCAACATTAAGCCAACATCTTAAACCAACATCATACTGACAGGTATTTGTCAGGTATGGCAACCAAATTTCAATGTCTGATAGATGTCGTTTTGGTTACATTCACACAACGTCAAGCTGTTACATCATTAGATGTTGATATATGGTTGAGTTGGAAAGTAACCAATATTTGACATCTGCTTGGCATTGGACATTTTTATTACCAAACAAAATGCAACGTCCCACGATGTTGGGGTACAAT